AACGTGTGGCACAACATGCTTGAGTGACCTTTCACTCCTTTATCTTTCCTCCTTTATCTTTTGCAATCCCAGCGCTTCATGTTGGTGTGTGACTGTTGATTGTGTTATAACAGGCACCGTGCTATCTTTCAACCAGGCATTTGTGAGGGAGAAATCTTGGCCCAGTGGTATGGCAAGATACCTGAACTTACAACGCCATGGTTACATTGGCTACTCCAGGAACAATACCTATCGATAAGAGTGGTGAGCAGGAAAACAAAAGCGAGGACACAGAAAGTGGACTCATAGCTGCAGTTAGCACAAACAGTGGCCTGCATGATGTCTCTGTGGCGGCCAGCTATTCCACTTTGTTTTCATTCCCATGTTGCTGTATTTCCTGAGGGGCCTTTTGCCTTCTTCGATGGTGCTTCTGGATCCATCCATCCCTGTGTCTTCTCTGGACAGAGCTGGAGGATCACAGGCCTTTTCTGAGCGTTCTCTTTGCCACCAGGTGGGTGTCTTGGTTGCCATTTGGGAACACTGCGACATGACTCTGCTTTGCTACAGGGATTTTGCTCACCTCTGACTGTTTCATTTTTTGGTATACAAGAGTTCCTGAGAAAGATATCTTTTTTTTTTTTTTTGCTGTCTTTATTTTATTTTTATTTTTTTTAATCAACTACAAACAAATATACAATATAAAATACAATATAAAATAAAATAGGAAGGAAAGAGAAGAAATGAAAACAAAATGAAGGAGGAAGAAAGAAAGAAAAAAACACCCCAAACCCTCCCCCCCCCCTTTGGGGACAGAGAATCAGACCTCATTGCATCCCAAATTTCCCAAGTTTTCAGAGAGCATTGAAAGCAAAAAAGGAAAAACAAAGCCCATCAATCATTTTGCCCTATCCTCAGATCTGTCCTTGGGCCCAAACATATATTAAGTTCCAACTTTGTTTTGCATAGTCTCTTGGTTGTTCTCGTAGTGCTTCTGAGAGTGTATCTCGTTCTGTAATGTCCAACAGCTTCTTCAGGATCCCACAACTGTAACCCCTGGCTTTTTCACATGTCCACCACATATGGTAATAAGTTCCTACTTTTTTTTTTTACATTTCCAACAGATATTGCTGCTACCTTCTGACATTTTTGCCCGTTTTGCAGGAGTGTAGTGCCATATATTTTCTCTTAAATTTACTGGCTTAATCATTTTATAGCAATCTTTCCACATCATTGTCCAGTGATCAATGTCAATATTATAACCGAAATTACTTGCCCATTTTATCATCGTCTCCTTTACCCTGTCATCCTCCAGTTCGTATTCCAGTAAGTATGTATACATTTTCTTTATTATTTTCTCATCAGTGTGGATCCACAGTTTATCTACCTGGACTTCACCCTCGAAAAAGCCCAAATTTCTATCTTTTCTATATCTTGATTCTAATTTATTCAATGACCACCAGTCTGTTGCCACCCCTAGTTCCTCTAATTCTTGCTTACATTTTATATTTTGTTCTCTGTTAAGTAATTCTTTATAAGTTAACAACATCCCTTTCTGATTCAACACTTTCAACGTAAAGGCTTCTATAGGAGCTACCCATAATGGAATTTTCTTATAGGTTTGTGCTTGAACTGAGGAAGATATCTTTAATCAAGGTATTTGACACACCCATCTCTGGATGAAAGGGTGTTTCAGTCTTCCATATATACCTGTCCAGTTGAAAAATAGAAAGGTATGTTTTATGGTAGACACATCCAAAAACAGAAAGTAATCAAAGAATACAGCCAGCTGAATAATAACAACAACAACAACAACAACAACAACAACACCAACAAAAGGTAAGATAAAGCAAACTTGCTCACCCAAAATTGCAGCTGCAACTCATTATTAAGCAAGCATATTTATAGCATATTTCTTCAAACAAGTGAACAGGTAGGACTGGCCTGACCTTGGACCAAGACAACAAGCTGTTTATCAAAGAGATCCTCAACAAGGCAATATATGGTATTCTGAGACAATGACTCTGTCAGCTCCCAGAGGGGCAGTACTGTTCACTGTGCATTTAGGCTCAGCTAATTCAGCCTAATGGGAGAGCAACCCTAATAATTTCCTTGATATCCAAAATTACTCTATCATGGAACAGCCTTGGTACAGTCTTTGCTACCCCAGATAATGTATTAGTATATGCAGTGTAGTGCATATGCATTTAACTTTTAACTCTTTAAATTTAATTGTTACAGATCAGTAACTTCAGGAGATTTAGAAGAGGTAGCAATGATAGTCTGGGCTAACATATCAGGCAAAGAAAAAAAATAGACAAAAGAAGATAAAAATGTTGCCTCTTAAAGTTTTATTTTAGTGAGCTTTCATGGACAAGTCCACTTCCTAAGATTTGTCCATGAAAGCTCCTGCTAAAATATAGCAGTTAGCCTTTAAAGGGCCCCAATGTTTTTGCCTATTTTATATATTTTGTTTTTACTCAAGAAGGGCCAGCTAGCAGTCTACTCAGCCAGCAGGCTTCAACTGGGCATGGGTAGGGATAGCCAGAAAAACGTATAGCCTTCTTAAATGTTGAAATAATACATTAGAGGTAAAGTCATCCTCCTTTGAAGGCTTCTCTGTGTTTCTACCTCCATTCAAGGAGTTTCAGGATGGTTTTAGGGCTTAATCAAAACCCGAAAGAACTGGTACTTTTAAACATTCTTAGGTGATGTGGAATTAAAGGTATGCCTTGAAGTTGCCATGTTTGCAGATGGCACACTATTTAAGCTGGCAGGGGAAGCAGAAGGAGCCTCCCTGAAACATATGAGGACTTGTGGACACATTTAGGCATCCCCTGAACAATGACAGTACCCTGCCAGCTGATCCTTCCACTGCAGAAGCACTATTGGATTGCTTCAGACATGCACTGGGTACCATTGCACAACGGCTATTGATAGCAAATTGGCATATTTTTATGCTATGAGGCATTCCCTAAGCAGATGCTGCAAAGAAACCCAGAGATCAGAGATAGAATATAAATTTATATAGCACGTGTTCTGTATTAAATGCAAAGCACTTTCAAATCCTTAGGTAGTGATTTATTCCATGTGAATCCTGGCTTCTCACATAAAGGATCTGGGATGGCTTTGGATGAGGAAGTTTTCCATCCAGATATGGGTCACAGTCTGACCTTCTTAGCTTCAACAAAGTCACTGTATCATGTCATAGATGTGTATGTTTTCAGGCCATGTCTTAATGCTTTTACACTATAGGTGGTTTGTGTGCCCCCTTAAACACTGAGCACACTCTTGAAAAGCTCATGGGCCATGCTGACTTGCCCTGTGCCCAGTGCCCCCCATGCCACTTGCACTCAACCTCACCAGCCACCTAATTCTAGGCTGGTAACAGTCCAGGCCAACAAGGTGTGAAGGCACCAGAAATTGTGGCCAGTCAGTAGGAGTGGACAGCCAGGATGACTTTAAACTGCTTGCTTTCAACACATCAGGTGTAAGAGAGAGGGCAACCAACTCTCCATTATCTAGAAAGCCCTCAGTTATTCCTATTTTGCCAACAGAGAATGAAAGTTGAGAACTAGTGACTCATGTGCGTGGTATAGAGGTACATACACAGAGAAAGAGAGAGATAGACCATTGGTGAGGTTCTCCAGCCCCTAAATCAAACCATCTGATCCAGGAGTTGAGAACTTTTGGCTCTCAAGATGTTTTGGACCACATTTTCCACACTGCCCTATCATTGTTTTATCACTCGCCACCCAAGTAGGTGGGGCTCGTCAGCCTTGGAAGGCAGCCCATCTAGAAGGAAAATTCCGATTTCAAACCTCCACTGCCTTGTGGCTATATCCACTCATGGAAAAGGCTTCAGGAGTTAACCTCGAGGCAAAATCTGGAGCTGGAGTCCCGAAGGCAGTTTGTGTCGTTCTGGCAACTCCTGCAACGTTGCTGGAACCAGTTGTATTGGCTCTTGCCTTTCCCTTGGACTATTTCAGCGACGTGGAGAGGGCGGATTTGCTGCTTGGGTAACAGCCTATCCTCCATATTATTTTACCCAGGCTTCATGCTCTGGAGAGGACACTCCAGCTTCACATACAGCATCGAAATAACACGGGAAGTAGCAGTTACTGGTTATAAGTCTTTGCTTGATCGGTGTAGAGCATGACACCAGGGGCTACTTCCAATGGTGGGAGAGGTCATTGCCGCTCACTAGATGGCTACTGCCTGCCTTAAGCTGGGCAGCTCCCAGCCAGTAAGGTGTTGCCTCACCATGGTCTGTTAACCTCATGGATGCATTGGGTTTAGGGTGAAAGCTGACAAGCAGATCGATAACCCTGCACCATGCAACAATCATAAGAAAACTTCTGCCCTAAAGCTGGGCACCTATCATTGTCTGTACTAGCTGGGATATCCGGAAGATGAAGTCCAAAACATTTCGAGAATCAAATGTTGCCAACTCTGGTCTATTCACTAAATCAGAGCAGCCTCTTCCAGTGTTCCTTATACTCCTCCAAGAGCATGACACATACGCAGATTTTAAAATGTCAGCAAAATGTTAAGTCCCTTTGTGTTTTTGTTCTCTTTAAAAAACATTTGACTGCTCTAAAAATTAATAAATTAGATAAAACAAATGACAACTTGTTGAAAGGAAATAGAATTTCTTGACTTAACAGTGTGTTAGTAATTGTCAATGTCTAATTTTACATCACAGTATTAGTGAAGGATGGGAAAATAGTTGCTACTGTAGTCCTTCATTTGGGGTTTGTTATCTTTTCCCTTTTTCCAGAAAGAGGATTTATGCATCTAAGCGAGCAGACATGTTAAAAATAGGGGCAGAAATGTGGTGCTATTCAAACAACTTCATACAGTATAGATTTTTTAAAAAAACAGCTTAGCATTGTCATCTTGATATCAAGGCTTTTGCCTTATGCCAGCTCCCCCCTCTACCCCCTCCCATATTTTTGTGTGTGTGCTCAGAAAGCTAGGCTTAGTCTGCTCATAAACATGAGTTCCTGGGCGGACCCCACACACGCACAGCTGGATTTGAGACAGCTGGGTCTGCCTCCCCTTCAGTTTTAGCTAGGAGCCCCACAAGCTCGGAGGATGAACCGACCGACACTGTGAAGCTGCTGGGATTCGTTTGCTGGCAGGGACCTGAAAATGAGTTCCTGGGAAAGCCTTTCTCTGCTTCTGTTGCTGCTGCTGCTGCTGCTGCTCTGTGAGTAAGAAAGGGCTGTAATGTTTTGTAAAGCAAGGGGCTGTTTATTTTTCCAGCTTGCTCCGTTCTGCTGTGCCGAGGACTAGCTAAAGGATAGAAGTAGTTGAAAGAACTGAGCAGTTGCAAATGCTTCATCAGGGCTTGCTGAGAAATGGTAGCCAAGCTGTCCAAGATGAGGTCCCTACATTATGGTAACAGACATGTATACAAAACCCTTTACAGGAAGCCTTTTAAAATTTGTATTGCTTTTTTGTTTTGATTATATGTACTGTACGTCCATTAGAATCATGCATAGCCGATGTGATGTGGTTTCGGCACATTTGGATACTGAGATGATTATGCAACATAACTTGCATTACTTTCTTTCATGTGCATACATGGCAAGCACACAATGGAGTGCAAGGCGCATTTTAGGCGGCAGGTCTACTCTGCCGCCCAGAGTAGACCTTTGATCTAGATGGGTGGGGTATAAATAGAATAAAATAAATAAAAAATAAATAAATACATCTAATGAAATATTGCAAGGAAGGAAAGAATGTATTTTTGCAACTACTGCAGTTTGGCCAACATGTAAGCAAATCACTCTTTGTCACATGCATGGTGTTTATGCTTCTGTAATAGTCCCTTAATACTGATGATACAGCTCCCATGCCATGATATCAGAATGTGTCCCGTTGTCCTGTAAAGGCTGTTACATTTTCATCCTCTTTTTCAACTAGGCAAGCCCAGACATACAGATAAATCAAGTGAATACGTTTCTTATATACACAACTGCTGCTAATATGCCTTTATACGGAATTTGTTTATTGTACTCATGCATGTCATTCCCTCTAAAACGGGATTCTGTGTCATTCTATGAAATCACGAGTCCACTTCCAGTTGGAGGATTTCTTCAGTGCTCACTGTATCACTTCTTCACATCCAATAATGGGCTGTCAGTCCCTCTGTTGCTGATTTCCATTGGCCCATGCGGTAATTCTTGTACCAGATCTGACCCAGCCATCTCACACAGGCTTTGCAGTGCTCCCACTTTAGGGCTGGCTGACCTGAATAGTGGCAAGTTATTCAACCTTGGAATTTATTTTATAGGTATTCTGCATTGAACAGGAGCTCTGTTTGCAGACTGGCTAGGTTTTGTATGATCCAGGAGCTAAAGATAGTTATAGATGTACTGTATATAGACACAAAACCAAATATCTGTATGCCTTGCAATGTGAGTCGTAAAGTGGTTAGGAATATTATTAATAATATTAAGTGTTTCGGAATTGCTGGATTAGATCCAAGCTAAATGGCCATCAGCCATTGGACCAGTTCCTCCCTTAACTCTTCTAACAAAATCAGCCCTGTCTCAGATCAGAGGCTGGAAGTAATAACTAATGGCCAAAATCCTCTTGCATAGCTATGCAGATGGTGTAACTGCTGGAGGCAGATTACCTCAAGTTAAGAAATCGCAACAGATTTTATCAGTTGCCCACTGAGTCATGCAACTCAAAACTTTAAAAGACAACTTTCCATGTTCTGGTTCAGATGATGCTCTCTTCTATTTGTAACCATCCCACATTTTCCTATTGCTTCTTCTACTCTTTTTCTTACTAGAAGACGGAATTGGATAATGAGGGAAAGGTGAAATAGGTTCCTAGGGCCTCTTCACCCATATGTCTAGGAGCCCTCTTTGTACAAGCACCCTTTGTCCGGATGTAGCCAGTTTTCTTGTTCATATTCACAAGAACCTCTCAAGTTGAATGCTGATTTTGATTTCTGAGATGGTGATAAGAAGTGATTTCCCCAAGGCACTGAGGAAATCTCAAGCAGGGAATTCTATGCACCATGCTGAACTGATGTCACTGAGGTCCCCTTCAAGCTAGAAAATCCTAGAGAGCTGTTTCTCCGTGTTTGAATTGCAAAACTTGAATTTGGGTAATTAGGTAAACTATTTCATGATAGGAATAAAGGTTACTTTTCCTGCAGGTGAATGGATTGGGCAAACAGAACAAGCAATCCCACAAGTTAGACTAGTGAAGGCTTTGAGAATGTTAATTTCTGTCTTTAATTTGCAAACAGGCATCTTTCCAGGAATCCTGGAAAATACTGAAGAATATTCTTACCAGATGTCCAAGATGATAATTTTGGGTTGCTTTCCATCTAGCGCTCTTTCCTCTCCTACTAAATCTATTAGTGTTACTACAAGTACTATTGTTACTAAAATGATCAAGCTCTCTTCTGTTGTCATCATCTCCTTTGTTTCAGGAGATGGTTCTCAAAGTGAGTGGTCTAGTGTCTCTTGTTCAAAAAAGGTTTCCAAGAGGGAGTGGCTTCAGAATATTGGGTGTACAGAACTGCAACCATCACAGGATGTGGCATACGCAACCTACAAATCAGCAGTGATCCAAATAAGCTGGTGGGAGCAAGGCAGATATCTCAGCCGACAGCACTGTGTTACCATCATGTTATCAAGTGCCACAACAGCTGGTGGTAGTCGATAACACATTTGGCAAGAGGTACTTCCCCCTCCTGTTGCCTGTTGGTCACTGGTTAAATCTGGGTAATGTCCCTATAGTGTTCCCTAATACTTCAGAGCTACTTCATGTTTTCTTTCTGTCTGAGGGCCATCCTTACCTCCAGCTCAAGTAACTATGATTACTACTCCAATGGGAGTCCACTACTTTTGTGTCCTGTGTATTTCTGTACCCTGAGCATGATAAAGTTCTTCATTTACACATGAGTGGAATAGTAGTCTTGTGATTTCTCTTTTCCTCACCTGTAGGTGATTACCTTGTGGTTGCTAGGAGAATATAAATAGCTGCCGTTCTCCATCCCTGTTTGTCTATGAAACAAAGCAAGGCAAATAAGGTTTAAAAAACCCTGAGATACACAATAATAGCGCAAAGTCATCAAATACGTTCATTATCCAGAAACACAAATATTTCTGTTCCTATCGAGATACTGTAAATTGTCACTTTTGAATTGTACTTAGAATTCCCCTGTTCTTTGGCATCTGGACATCTTCTGGTCTAGCTGCATTCCTATTTGTGCTAAATTTAAACATTCCAGAGCCTCTTACATGGCACAACTGTATAGCCAGTGTAATCTTAGTAAGAAGTTGTAAATGCATCTGTAACCTATAAGGAGAATGTTTGTAGTACCTTTTGAGCAAGTAGGCAGGTGAGAAATATGGACCAATTAACTTGTTAAAAAGCAAGCATTTGAAATACAATTTCAAGTTTTCAGAGAGGTTAAAATAGGATCAGTTGGCCACATTATCAGATGTAAGGAGGTGGGTGCTGCTGAAGCCATTTAGAACAAGAAGACATTAAGCATTGAATCATCTCATTTCCTGTTATTTATAGAAAATTATTCATCGTTGTGATAAAATATACCTCGTTATGGATGGAAAATGCTTAGCTTAGTAGACTTCAGAAATTTATCATAGAATCACAGCAGTTTCTTAGCTCTGACCTATCTTTGTTGGCTCATAAAAGTCCTGCCAGATGGTAAATAGAAAGTCTGCCAGAAATTTTCAAACACTCTGCAGGAAGTTCATCTAAAGCACCAGTGAAGCATTTGCACTTAAAACAGAGCATACACCCCCATTGCTGAAATGCGACACAGATAACATTTCTGCCATGCCTACTGCTCCAAGGATAACACTGGATTTCTCTACACTGCCTTTTTTCTGTTCCTTCCCATATTCTTGAAGGGATGGATGACCTATTCAGGGAAAAGAAGGTACAGGCAACCATCATTTGCGGGAAGGAATGGTCACATTCTGAAAAAGGTAAAGGTTCCCCTTGACATTTAGTCCAGTCGTGTCCAACTCTAGGGCGCAGTGCTCATTGTTACAAACAGCTATGATGTCACCTGTCCTTCAAGGTTTAGGCTGGAGTGTTAACATCCAATGGTGGTCGGAAGGCGGGACATCAGGGAGAGGAGCTGGGATATATAGGGGTGTGAATGTGTGTGAGGGGCAGATCAGGATCTGTGAGTGCTGAGATGAGATAGTGATCAGATTGTGTGGAGATATGAGTCTGTGTGAGCTAGAGCCTTTCTTTATGTGATTACCTGATTTATTTGTTATACTAATCTTAATGTACCAATCAATAAACTTTAGTTATTTTGTTTGAAATCCATTCCGGCCTGAGGATACTTATTGCAGGGGATGGTTGGTGGCAGACTACTAGAAGAGTAACAGTGGAGTGACGTAGCGACCTTCCTTGGTGAGGTAGAAGGAGGCCGTTACACTCATCTCTGTTTCCAAGCCGTAGAGCCAGCGTTTCTCCATAGACAGTTTTCATGTCACATAGCCAGCGTGACTAGGCACGGAACCTTCCCACCGAGGTGGTACCTATTTATCTACTCACATTTTTACATGCTTTTGAACTGCTAGGTTGGCAGGAGCTGGGACAAGCGACGGGAGCTCACTGTGTTGTGTGGATTCAATCTTACAATGGCTGGTCTTCTGACCTTGCAGCACTACCACATCCCATATTCTGAGATACTTATCGTGTATAAGCCAGTTCACGTTAAGTCCCACCATTGGACTTCAATTGGACTTACTCCTAAATAGTTTTGTCTGGGACTGCAGGTGTAGGATGCTGAATGATGGATCCAATGCTTTCATTGCACTTGTGAAGACCTGCAGAAGACACAGATCTTGGACTGCAATCTATCCACCACTACCCCTGTCATAAAAGCATGATTCTCCTTAAGAAAATATCTAAAGTAAACAGGAAAATTAATTGGAATTTCCCTCCAGAAACTGATGGGGCCATTTGTTATGCTCTAAGGTTTACAGAGACGTAAGCAGTAGATTGTCGTCATAAACTGTAGAAGAGGGCTTTCTCTTCCAACAAACTTGGATCTTATTGCTTCATTCTTCAGAACTTGATAAGGTGGTATCAAACATCTGTGTAACAACACAAGAAAATAACATGCCAATAACTATAGAGATCTCTCAATACACAAATTACTGGTGAGTAGAGAGATTGTCCCCAGACTGAAGA